GTTAACTTAACGCGTCTGTTCCACTGAACTCTGCTGGCATTCCTACATCTAGCGATTCACTGCGAAAGACACTCTCGTCACTTTCATTGTTCCTCACACCTTTCCGTCTCCCCAACCGAAGTCGTTAACGCGTCTGTTCCACTGAACTCTGCTGGCATTCCTACATCTAGCGATTCACTGCGAAAGACACTCTCGTCACTTTCACTAATTTGTTCCTCACTGGCGCTTTCTTGGCTTTTTTCCTCTGATTGTGTTTTGAGTTCGTGATCGGCTTCGGACTTTTGTGGCTGTTTTTCTCTAGGTGTGTGTCTCTGCTCTTCTTCAGCTTCGTATGTTGTGTATTCTTTAACACTCTCTCGTGTTTTCTGAATGTATTGCGGTTTTTCCTGTTGTTGGTCAGCACTTGTTTCCCATGCAACTTTTATATTCTGTAATGGAAGTGTTTGTTCTCTAAACAGAAAACTCATTTCCTCATGGAGCTTAACTTCTTCCTCTTGTGTTTTTCGTCCTATGGCATCTTGTTTTGCGGTTCCATATACTAGTGGTTGGAATATCATCGTTGTTTTAGTAACACATTTGTGTTGCACTGAATCCGTTTTCTGGAAATCCATTATTTCATTCAATGGCTGTTCTGTCTGTGGTTGTTCTTTCACAGTGATTACTGTGAGTTCTTTTTGTTTGTTTAATTTTTCCTCCGGTTCTGACAATTCTACAGGCACCGCTTCTTTCTGCAAAACCTGTGATTTCTGCTTCCTAGGTTTGATAAAAGAAGTTTGTTCACACACTTCTCTTGTTCGTTTCATGCCCCACCTTTCGTCTGTTTGGTCGTGCATAATTTGTATGGGCGCTTTGTGTGCGCGCAGCCTTGCATTTTGTAGATGCTCTGCTTCGGAATATTCTCCATTCCCTATTCTGGTTACTTTCTCGCTTTCTCGGGCTTTTCTATTTGGTTCAATAAAATCTGTTTGCACACCTAACTCAGCAAACTGCTTACCTGGTGGCTGCATTTCTTCCTCTTGGAGTGTTTCAACTTCTTCTTTCTGAAGTGTTCGAAGTGCAATCAGCTTTGCTATCAGTTCGTCTAGCCGCGCTCCATGCAAGTCCGATACCAGAATTTCCATCTTCGCTTGGTCGTCTTCCACTTCCGTGTGTGCTTTTTTAATGTCAGGTAACACCCTCCTTCGTACAAATAATCCAAATCTACTTGATGTTGATACTTGTGATTGAACAACCGTTTCTTCATTCGTTTTCGTTTCTTCCGCATGCTGTACTAATCCTGCTTCGGTTCTTGACACTGTTATTCCCATAATTCTTAAACTCCTGTTGAGTAGTTTTTGCTGAGATGTCGGGTTTACATATACGGCTGAATTTGTCCTGTGCATAACCAATCAAACACATTGCACTTTTCACTTGTCACGTGGTAACACAAACGTGTGTACGGTATAGATTGGTCAGAGCAAGTGAAGCAATTCACCAACTTGTGGACTAAAAACGGATTAGACAGTTGGATGGCTGAATCAAGAATTGTTTTATTACATTAAAATCACTGAGTTGATAAAAAACTGCCAGTGTAAGGGGTCGATTTCTGAGCTGGCACTCGAACATAACCATTTTTGGTCAACAACTTGCTGATGGTTACGGTTAATGAGTATGTTTTTTGTATTCTAACCACCATACGGCTGGAAGTTGTATCACCAGCGAGAGAGAGAGAAAAAAAAATCAGATAAATTCAAAGAACAAAGTAGAAACCGTACAACTGTCACTATCCATAACCAAGAACTTCGCCACCACAGATCAATCAATTGACTCGCCTAAGCGTTTGTGGACAGTTTCGCGCAACATTTCACTAGGCTATTTTTCACAAGAAGCGCTGAAGTATACTTTACTTACTAGTGATATAGGGAAAGCTTTGATTATTGGAAGATTCTGGACTTCAATACTGAAGATTTCCGACTTTTTTCGAGTGTCGTAGTGACGCTCCATCGCATCCTATGCTAGTTCACCCATCTCGGTGCTCATGAGTTGCTCAGACCATACTATTTTGTCAGGCAATACGTCCAGTCGTAAATTACAAACCACAGGATTTCGACTCGTGCGAATTTTAGTTGTTCCTGTGCTATACAAAACGAACTTGGTCACACATGAGAAATTCTTGCGGTTCCCGATTAGCATTTTTTTGTATCGGATGGGATAACGGTATGGAACTGAGGGTACTTACCTGTCGGTGTTTTTTTTTTGAGTATTTTTTGTAGTAATTGCTTGTTGGGGCCAGTGCCATTCTTGTATTTTCATTTTGTGCAAATACTTTTCTACGATGAGTTGCGTGGGAACCACAGACAACGGTAGTATAACTCCATTAAATTGTAAACTATTATAGGTATGGCGTAGCTGCTACGGGTCCTTATATAAAGTAGTGGATCTCTGACGGGACAACTCTGGTTTCTGTCCCCGCGTTAACCTGTTATTTCACAGCTTTAATATCCAAACTAACCTACCAACTCTGGTCTTCGTGTTTCTACTTGTCTGACACAACAAGCAAGTGAACACTAAGTCTATCCAGCTGCTATCCGGGTTGTGGAACGGACTGTTTATGTAGAACTTCAAACGGAACTCGTTTTTTGGCTATCATCCATGGGCAAAAAACTGCGATCCACCGTAGCTTGATAGCCCTTCACGTGTCATGTCGCTACACTCTCGGACAATCGGTATGGAAGGAATTAGGTCTGACTTACATAAGCAAGGCGAACCAGTGTTTTATTGAGGAATAATGCTACGACGGTTTCATGGGAAGACATTCTGTCAGCTGAACGTTGGGTGGTTTGGTTTTTAAGGCTGTACTCATGGGTGTTAAACCTTGTCCCAATTTTGTCCCTGGTTGCCGTTTGTATGCTTCAGTAGGTCTGATAACCACCAAGGTTTTCTCCAAGCAGAAAGAAGTTGAACCAAAAATTCCAGTATCATTCGAAGATAGAATAGTTGGCTGTTGTTCGTCCTCAAATATCCGAATGCGTCTCTCGTGCAACCTATCCATAGTTGGTCCACCCCGTAGCCGCAACTGACAAGAATGTCTGACTCACCACGTACAGATTGGACGAAGGGCTTCTTTAGCATACCGTTTGTTCTAACTCGTATGGTCTGTCTCTGTTATGTTCCTAAGAGGAGCTAGTGCGCAGCGCGTTGGTATCGCTTGTCTCAGTGATACTGGTGCGTTGTTGCACGGGAGTCATACCCCAAACGCAATGTTGTCATTAGGAAAACCGAAAAACTACTGTGGCTTTGTAGTGGCGCGCCTAATGTGGCTTTGATGCTGCTAATATTACCTGTCATTCGGGTG